GCCCACTAAACCATGTCGCCGCGGCTCTGCAGTGGCCGCGGCTCCAGAGAGCGCTGGGGGTCCTGGCAGCGCGGGGGGCAAGTGCACCCTTCCTCGGGGAGGGATCGGGGCTGATAGTCACGGGGGACTTCTGACATTGCCCCTGCACGGACTGCAAACAGGGCTGCGTTCAGAGCGCTGTCCTTTGCATGCTGCCAGCTAGCTGGAGCCCAGAGCTGCTGGGAGGATAAAGGAGATAGTTGGGCACCTCCGCTGCAGTCTTTCTTTGCGTGAGACAAAACTTTTCCTCGAGAAATGAGGGAGGCTGACACTCAGCCCAGAAGCATGTTGTGTGCTTGCTTGGCTGTATGAGGCTTTTCTGTTCCTGTGACATCTCTTCCTTACGTGCCAATCTTGACCATGTACCTTGTCTATCCTGTTCTGGTTTGTCTGGGTACCTTTGATTTACACGCAGGCTGCTGTGTAAGGGGCTCAGCTCTCTCATGCAGCTGTCTCAGACAAGTAGATATGCTTTCCAGCTTCCATGAGACTTCCCAGTTGAACTCACTATAGCTGCTCTCTCTGTAACTCCAAAGTGTCTCCCCAGTAGGAAAGCATCATTAGGCCCTTTTTTTCCTAATGGGTAAGGAAAATGAGAAGGACAGGGCGGTCACTGCCCCGAGGACATCAGGAGGAACTAGCTGGATGGAAGGAGAAGCAGGAATCGGTTAGCTCAGTGCCAATGCTGCTCACCCGTGGACTTTGTTTTTCCCTGAAATATCTGTATGGTGTGGGGCAGCAACGAAGGAGGCGTGGGAATGGCTGTGTCAGAGCTGCAAAGGGAGGTGTGTGCCTGGGGGATCTTTCTTCACTAGCCCAGTGTTTTGGAGGTTTTCTACTCCTGACAGGCTTGTGGGCCCAAATGCAAGGATAAGTCACTGGCTTTCCATCCCGTTTGTGACCATACTCATCTTGGCTGCAGCTTTAGGCTGGAAGCCTCTGCTGCAGGTGTGGTTGATGCCCTGCTATCCTGGCTTTCAGGAAGTGCCATTCCCAGCCTCTACAAGCTGTTTGATTTTGGGGGAATCAATCTCCTAAACTATCCTCCCTTTTACAGCTGGCTAGAACAGCTGGGCTGCAAGCAACAGGGAATTGTCAGATAGATTTTCCTGCCACCTCTCCCCCCCCGCCTCCCCCCCATCCCTCCCTTTTCCAGTCTTGAATGCCTGGTGGGGGAACAAACTCCTCCATCTGTCCTCAAACCCCCAGGTGGGTAATAATAGATGCTTCATATAGAAAAATTCAATTAGACTTGACAAGAGCTGTATGCTAGTGCTTCCTTGCCAGGGCCCCATCTTGCTCTGTTCTGTTCCTCTGCAAGAGACTTGCTGTAGAAGCTATTATGAAAAGAAAAACCCTTTTAAGTATAATGGCATTTATAGCTAGGACTGGCTGTGGTGGGTTTTGTAGAAAAGAAAATTACAGTGGGATCTCGTACAACTGCAGCCACCAAGATGCAATTGGCTACCCAGGACATCGGATGCGAGCTGCAAAGAGCAGGAAAGGGCTGTGTGGAGTGCTGTATCTAGGGCTTCTCTTAGTGCCTTCGAGTATTAAAGCTGCCAGGGTAAGAGGTGTGTTCATGCTGGTGTCTTGGCTAAAAGTGAGTAGTTCATGTTTTAAACTCTCTGTCTCTCTCCAGTTCTCATCATCCAGCTGTTTTGTTCCTGTGTGGGGTGTTTCGGAGGACATCTCCATTCTTTGTTCGGTGTAGCTCACCTCTAAGCTCAGCGGTGGTCTGCCCCAGAGATGGCTCTGGTGCGCTGTGGGTTTGATGTGCAAAGGAAGTAAGAGCCCTTTCTACAGCTCTTGTTGCCGTGTTCAGGACTGGGAGGAGACCCTTTCGTGGGGGTTTTTTTTTTTGGTTGTGTTTTGTTGTTGTTGTTGCTCCAGCAACACTCAATTTTTGTGTTTTAATGCTCAGATTTCTAAATACTGTGAGTCTGGGTGACGAGAATATCTGTTATAAAGTACTTGGGGACAGACCTCTCTCTGTCTGTACAGCACACATGTCTGCACTGGTCATCAATGTTCCTAAAAGCTACTGTGTAGTATCACACAGCTGCTTGCTGGTGTTGGCACAATGGAAAGCAGAAGGAACCCCCATTTGAAGCTGTATGTGATAGAGCCCTTCAGCGGCTGGGAGCTTTAATACATCTAAATCCTTCTGTCACAGTTGCACTGCCTTTCTATAATCCTATGAAATTGCATCGTCTCAATTTCCATGAAGTCTGTAACACGTGAGAACCCATTAACCTCATGCGCTCTGTTCGTCTCAGACAGATGAATTGATGTAGTCTTGGAACTGGATGTATGTGTATGGCGCAGATTTCAGTGTGTTCAGACTTCTGGTATTTGATCAAAATTCAGAAGGCATTTGCAACAAAATATATATGATGCAAGCAAGATTCCCCCCCCCCCCCAAGTACCCAGGCACTCACTTGCATTGGGACTGTAGCACTGACGTGGCTGAACACAAGGAGTAATCGCTCCCCTGAGGTCAGCAGCAGCTTTTGCAAGAAGCTCTGTGGAGCAGAGGTAGCTATTCTCTGCAGTGAAGCTGCCAGGCATTGAGTGTCTTGGAAGGCACCTCGTGGAGGTGAGTGGGAAGGTCAGGACAACTTTGCAGGATGCCTCTGACAGCCCACGTGAACATCAGGCCTGCTGGCATGAGGGGGAGAATTTTGGAGTAGGAAAGCCCCCGGGAAGCTGCATTCCTTGTAACAGAGCTGCTGGGGAGGCTGTGTGCATCTAGTAGTTCAGCCTAGATAAGCCTGAAGTGGGGACCATGGCCCTATCCTGTATTTAAAAGGGACACAATATCTGAAAGCTTAATCCTGGGGTTTATCCTGACTGGGAGGTGGTGACTTAGGAAAGGTTCAGTTTAACAATTGCATCACGATGTGCAATATTGATCCCCTGGCCGTACTGATTCCTTAGGGACAGATGGAGGCCTCGTTTCTTCTGTGGGGCAGAGAGTTGGCAGCGAGTTGAATGTTAACTAGCAACTTTGTCAGCTGCATTAAAGGCTGTGGCGAATAAAGCTGCATGTGTGACAGTGTGTGCAGAGGTAATGGAGGGGAAATAGTTAAATTCTGAACTGGTTCTGGTTTCTCCTGGGTCAGAACCAAGGCTGAGCACACAGCAGAGCTACAGTTACAGATGACCTGCAGGGCGATCTGTCAGGGCTGGGCTGTGTAGGAGCCTTCCTGGACCTCCTTTGTGCCTTGCATGAATTCCCACTACGTTTTAAGTGCACCTCTGCCTGCTGCTGCTCTGCAAACCCACTGCCCATCAAGTGCTTCTGACAGGTTCAGGCTGCTGGGTCAGGGAACAGAGCGTGTATCTCTCTGGGAGACTCATGGTATTATACAAGACACAATGACTCCTGTTTTTTGGATAGGACTGGTTGACATCGCTCCACATAACTGAACAAAAAAAGCATGCTTAAGCACAGGACACAAATACCCAGCACACAAGGGAAGATCCACACACAATTGTGTCATTTTATTATGTTTGCCTGGACTCTGGCTTGGCATGGCTGAGGTTTGGAAGGCCAGAGTGCCCTAGGCATCCAGGTGCAGCAGTGCAGAAAGCCCGATGAAGCAGAGCATGCACAAAGTGACCAGCTCAGAAGCTCTCTCCTTTGGCTATAGGTTATAGTAGTACGCTGCATTTGTAATGGTGCACTTTGATGCAAAGTGGCATTCAAGTATGTATGCGCTGGCTGCCCAGGAAGGGAAGACAGACAGACACAAACATGTAAGTGCCTATCTCTCTAGGCAATACCAGCTCAATGAAGCGGCTTCTCTTCCGCGAGGACTTATTAGCAGGGACAGGCTTGGCTCAGGGAAGCTTAGGTGTCTTTGTTCAGGATGGTGGCTCACAGCCCTGAGTGATATCGAGAGGCACTAGTGGGAGTATGTACGAAGTACTGTCTTGTCAGTGAGCATATGGAGTGGAGGCAGACATGTACTTTTTGCAGACAGCGTTAGTAGCAGGAAGAACTGAGATCAAGTGGGGCTAACAACAGCTTTCTGCGTGAAGAATATCTCCTGCCTGCAAAGAGTCGTACTGGATGCCCAGGGTGCTTGTTGCATAAAGCATGCAGAGGCCAGGAAGGGGTACATGAGTTTGTTTTCATTTGTTCCTGGATGCCCTCCTCAATTTGCTTCTAACCCATTTCCCTAAGACCTTGTCATCTCTCTCCCAGCAATTACTCTCAGTTGCTGTATGTTTGAGGGAGCCAAATGAAGTCCCAGGGTTGGACACCAGAGAGGTTTCAGCTCCCAACACGTTCCTTGATAAATGGATGCTGGGAACAGTGTAACAGAAAAGGATCCAATCCCTATTACTTTGCATTATTGTCACTAAAAATTAAGCACTTGGCAGCCAAGCTAAAGCTCCTGTGAGGCAAGCAATGACATCTATTGTTTATAAATGGGAGAAGCTAAGGTTCTCACTGCAGGACTTGGAAGCAGTTGGTGACAGAGATGTGACAGGGCTCTGGGTTTCCCTGGTATGTTCTCAGACACAAGGTCTACGCTTTTCTTCCTCTTTTTCCACTCTTTAACTTCCAGAAAATATGCCCAAAGTACCGCTTAAAGTTAAGGGGTGCCCAAGTCTGGGAAGCAGGCAGGAGGGGTGTCTAGCTTGGGCTGGGTGCTAGTGGTTAGTGGCTTAGGAGAGAAGTAAGGTCTGGAGGATTTTTAGGTGATCTCATGTCTGACGGAGAACATCGGTGCAAGCGGTGAGGCTGAGTCTAATGTGGTGCATTCACAAATCTATTTGCATTCTTTGCATAGTCCCCTTGAGGAAAGATGGATGGTGGCCCCTGGCATCTTGCACGCACATTCATACACAGAAAGGTTGTATGCTCTACAGCCTGGAAGCAGCACCATGCAGAAACCATCCTAAGGCCATGGGATGCCCTGAGGGAAGTCAGCTCCAGCATCCAGGTCCCAGTTCAGGCTATGGCTCCACTGTCACACTGCTGTTGGTAACACGTACGCCATACCATCCCTTCCAGAATAGTGTGTCCTGGCCACCATGTTCAAAGCGGACAAAGCGGACCCCAGGCCCGTAGTTGGAAAAGGTGTGGGAGATCTTTGGGACGAGAGACAAAATCGTTGTTGGTAAGCATCAAACCAGCATGAACCTACCTTCTTTAGTGCACAGAGCCTTCAACCCCACCTGCCCAGTCATACCTACCAGGTTAGGTAACAATGAGGACATTTACAGTGGGAGTTACTGGGAGGTGCTTTGATCCCATTGTTGTTCAGAGGCCATTAAACCTCTCCCAGTTGGGCATCTCCTTCATCTTACACCTGCAGTAGTGGCTCAGCAAGTTTCCAAGTTTTATGTAAGGTAACCTTCCAGTATAATCCCTTTGTTCAATCACAGGGTCATGGTTCCACAGAACACATGACAGAGCTGCCTCCTCCTCCTCCAGGAGAACCCTCCTGCTTCTCTCTGCTTGAAAATATTCCTGATTTATGCAGGTTGGGTGTCACCTGCTGAGCCCACAGCTGTAACTCACCTCAGTCCAGTTGGCGTCATTTTCCTGTGGGATGGCAATAGTCTCACTTCTGTACTCAGCTAGAACATCCTCATTCTCTGAGAGCAGTTTCACACAGAGCTCATAGAGGCAGCCGGCATCACTGCGTCCTGCATACCTGCAAGGAGATCCACGCTGCTAGTCTTACCTGTGTGAACTCGGCAAACAGCCGGAGCACCCAACTGCATCTGGCTGAATGCAGGCTCGATCAATCCCATCAAGTTACTGGGGCCTTGGTTTGAGGTGGAAATCTATAATGGTTCTGACCCCAACCCACCACCTCCCCTCATTCACAGCAGAAACCTGGTCTTTAGAGGCCATATGCACCAAGAGTTTGAAGCTTGTGGGAGCTGTCAGTGGCTCTGTAAGCCAGGACTGAGCCCTCTTCCGCATCTAGGGCATCTGGCAGCTGAGGTTTTAAGGCCCAGTGCAGGTATAAGCCCTCCCTGCCCTTCCTTCTCTTTCTTGACTCTCTGCCTGCCTTCTGAGGCATCCTTGCTACTTACCAGTCTTTTACCACAAGTTTAGGCTGGGTTGTGTCCATCAGCTCTTCCCAGTAGCCCTCAGCCCTAAGGTCAATGACCTGAGCCTTTCGACACCACCTGAAATGCAAGATGTTAATTGGTATCACAGTCTCTCCTGGGACTGGGGGAACCAAAAATGTCCCGTTCCCTGAATAAGAGAAGAAAGCAGCCTTACTCATAAGATGTAACAAAGTATTTATGGACTTCTTCACTAGGGAATTCTTTTCCAAAGTCCCCAGGGAGCTCTTCAATTTTCCAGCCATCACCTCCATTCTCTACCTCTCCCCAGTGCTGCAAGTCTTCTGCAAATGGCAGAAAAGAGACTTGGATGAGTTTTGATTTCTGTGGGCCTGGGGAACCTGACCTTCTCCCACTGGAACCTTTCTCTGGCTCGTTAGAGGTACGCTGTTAGGTGCAACACTAATTTTGTATGTAGACTACGGAGATGTTTGTTAAGTAGAGGTCAGGCAAAAACCTTTAGTCTGGTTGAACATAGTATTAACAAACTTTAACGTTCCCCACCAAAATGGCTATGTACATGTGGGTTTATTTAAGAAAGTACTCTGGTGAAATTATTTAAGTATTCTGAACTGTGTGTCAGCACTTTCAGTGTCATAACATAGGAATAGCCTGGGGGAGAGATGCTCATTGCTTTATTTCTAAATTTTCCAAATTGCTAAGTGGTATTTCTAGAAGCAGTATGGCCCTAAACATTGGGCTTTTCTGGTCTTAGCCAGAGGGAATGTGGATGTTGGAAAAGCTTGCAGAAAAATAATCTGTAAACAAAATGGAGAAGCTGTGTTGATATTGCTTTGGTCTATGATGTGTGAAATGTGTTTGTTGCTGCTTGGGTTATGAGGCTTGGTTACTGCTGCTTATTGCTAAGCATCTTGTAGATCCGGCAAGCGAAGTTCATAGATTATCAGAATAATGGCAAATGGGGTACGTGAACAGCTCTGTAACGTCGGCTGTAGTAAGCAGGGTACAAAGAAGATTTGCCTGAGCTGCTTCAAGGAAGCAAGCCTGAAGTGCCTGGTGAGCTAAGGGCAGACTAGCTCCTGAGCGGGGAAAGCCTTGATCTTTACTGTCATGGTTTGGCAAGAAGTGATCTGGAAACCCAGATGCCACTACCATTACTGCACTGGACAGGGGTTCTGTACATTTTTGTCTCTCAAATGTGATTCTGATCCCTGCAGGGGCTTATATAAAGTTGATGTCAAGTAGAGCCCTTTGCAAAGGCTGATTATCAAAGGCCTTCATGTACGTTAAATGATTTGACTGCATGCATTAAGTCATTTGACCCCGGCAAGAAGAAAATACTGCAACCCAATGGCAACTAAAATCTTGTTTCAAAGACTGGAGATGGCCATTTCCCAGTGACTGATTATCTCTATGAAATCTTGGGGCTTGTTATGCTTGTCTCTCACCTTCACCACATGGGTTCTTGATGAGATTCTTCCTTTTTTTACTCAGGAAGTAGAAGTTTTGCCAGTTCTCTGCATTCTCCTGTGACTCTGCTCCAGTGAGGCTTTCCGGCTGACACTTCAGGATCCAAAGCGCAGCTCCATCGATCAGGTTCTTCCACTGGCAGCAGACCAGGCGGCACGCCAGCACCAAATCCACCGCAGGTATGGAAGCCAGGATTCTGATCAGGACTGCTTCAGGGAGGGACTCCATCCTTGGGCCAGGCTGGATGGAGCTTTCTGAGAAAGAAGGGGGAAAGGAGTGGTGACACAGTGGTCCTTCGGACATGGGGTTCCCCACCCTCAGTGATGTCAAACACTGATGCTTTAGAAAAAAGGCAAAATAAGCATGTTATATGAAAGCATGATTTTGGGGGCATAGATTGCTTCCTAACCTCAAGGCCTCCTGACCCCTATTAAGTTAATACCCTGAAGCATATGAGCGGATTAGTATTATATGTTCTAAGTGAAGCCCTTAGTAAAATCCATCCACAAAATGGAAGTAGTTGATATCTGCAATTGTGGACAGTTTGTCAGTTTCCCAGACCGGAATTAGTCCTTCCAGAAATCTCTGCTGCTGCCAAAATCAGCTTCTTGGTAACGACTTTCTCTGCCGAGGGAGGCATCTGGGTGTTTGTTCTGCCTTTAAGAACATCACTGATAACAAATGCTGCAGAGCAGTACCTAAATATCAGTCATGAGCACCTTGCCAAGCATACTTGAAGTGGTTCGCTCTATATCTGAAAGGCTTTCCCTCAAGGGGCTGGCACTTAATCTCCTTAGTCATGAGCCTGTATAAAGTATAGGTCTGAGGATAACTGAAAATAACCCAGTTGATATTCTCTAATATTCCTTTTTCTATGGCCTTATAACCTGAGCAATTAAGTCGAACTGTGTGCTTTAACTTCATGTGCTAATTCTGCACTCTGACTCCCAACAGCTCTCTGCTGCCCTGAGTTCTAGGGCCGAGTGCTGCAGGAATAAGGAAAGATGAGTGTGCAGATTGAGAGCCCCATGTCATCAGTGGGGGATGCACTGTGACACAGCTTTTATCTCAGCTGAGTCCTGATGCTGGAGAAGCTGCTGAGACTGCAGCGAACTGCACTGATGCAGCCAAACTCCTCAGGAGTGAGTCATTAAGCCTAGGAGAGCACTAGGAACAAAGCACAGGTGAAATATCCTGACATGCTACTTGATGAAAGTGGCAGTGCCAGATCTGGTGAGGGAGGGAAGACATAGGGAGTCGCGACTGTAACAGCATCCTAAATCTAGATGTTCCAGATGCAGAGCTATCATGTGTCCTCTATCGGCACTGCAGACCGCAGGAGGAAACTATCATTTAAAATTCCCTGGCTTTTATGGGGGTAGCATTGAGGATTTCCCATTTTTTTTTTTTTTTTTCCCCCCTTTCCGCCCCCAACCACAGTCCTGAAGGGGGTAAAATGTGATTTTTTTTTTTTTTTTTTTTAAAGAAGAAAGAGGGATCCTGCTGGTTTCATCTCCTGCAGGAATTTCACGTGCCTCGCCCGCTCTCTGCCTGGTGATGGAGCGTTACCGCTCTCCTTGCTTAGCAAGGACTCCCCACGCGCTCAGGGAAGGGGTGCAGGTCCCTGCCCGACTTTGCTTTTCCACTCCGACCCACAGTATTGTAAAACTGGTCTGACAGCGGCAGACCCCCCGGGGTAGCTCCCACC